TGGTAATGTGGAAGGTAGAACATGCACCTAATGACCTGGGTGATCTAGCTAAAGAGATGTCCAGATAAAGTGCTGAGGTGCCACCCAATTTCTTCTTGCCAGTGACAAGAATGTGTGAGAAGAAAGTGGGGAACTAAAGAAGGGATTGTTAAACGTGGAGAAGCCAGACTGGATGGTTTTGAAGATTGCCAATGCTTCCAAATGGCAAACAAAACTAAAATGAAGAAATGGCTTCCCAACAAAGATCAAATCGAGGCCACTGCCAGGAAGATATAGTCTAGAGATAAGGCTGAGGGTGTAGCTACAGAATACCTTGTTTACATACGACTTCAGGAAGATCTAACTAAGATGGTGCCTCAGAAAGCTGTTCAAACAACAGAACTTTAAAGAAGCTTAAGGATGCTGTCCTTCCATAGTTCAGCAGAAGTCCAAGGTTGAGAGAATTTACATTGAAGAGATTTGGAGTGTGGCTTTTGTCTAATGAAGGGGACCTGAATAAGACTCATAGGAGGCCCACAGGTTCCTAAAAATAATTCCAATTACAGAAATACCACTGGCTTAGACTGAAGGAGACAGAGTACACAGTGAAATGAGGCATTTGGAATCCAAAATTTTACTGAGAAAGTACACAGCTCCAAAACAGCCTACTTTTCAAGGAAGAGGAAGGATAAATCAGAAGAGGTAATCAAGCACCCAGAATGTGGAGGCAAGGGCCACAGAGAATCATTCCTGGGCAGGAGTAGGACTGAATTCAAATCAAGAAACTTCTAAATTGTGACTTAGAACAGTGATAGCTTTGGGCCTCCCATTTTCCTCTTTTTAAACAGGAATGTCTAGAGTGGTTATCCTTTGCCTGTCCCACATATGTATATTGGGTGTGTATGTGAGCAGATAACTTGTCTTTTTAGCTCATAGGGCTTGAGATCAAAGGAACTGTATTTGAGGAGCTGCACTTAAGGAATGACACCTGAGAAGCTTCAGCCATACCTGGATCCAACTAACATGACGTGCTTCTGAACTTTAAGCTGATACTATAAAGGGTTGAGATTTGGGGGTGGACAGGGGTAGGTTTGGAAGGGGATGAGTATATTTTCTGTGTGAAAATAATTTTAATAATTTATGGCCAGAGGACAAGTTGGGGTAGTTTTAAAATATGTCCATGAATCATTCAACACTCTTCCCTCCAAAAAGTGGAGACAAAAATCACTTTCCCTTGAGCTTAGACTGGACTTGATGACTTGGAATATTCTAGAATGGATAGAATATTGATACTGTAGAATATTGTAGAAATGATAGTGTGTGACTTCTAAGGCGAGGCCACAGAAGGCATGGCAGCTTCCTCTTGCTCTCTCTTAGATCACTCGTTCTGGGAGAAGCCAGCTGCCATGTCATGAGAATGCTCAAGCAGCTCTAGGGAGAGGCTCAGGTGGTCCATGTGGAGAGGGACTGAGGCCCTCTGCCAACAGACATGTGAGCAGATCCTCCCGTTCCAGTGAAGCCTTCGAAGACTGCACTCCTGGCAAACATCTTGACTCATGATAGACGCTGAGCTAGAACCACCCAGCTAAGCCACAGCCAAATTCACCACCTTCAGAAACTGTGAAATAATAAACTGTGAGATAATAAAGATCTGTTGTTTTGAACTGCTAATCTTGGGGATAACTATCACCCAGAAATATGTAACAGAAGTATGTCATTCTCCCTCCTTCCTTTTTTGCAATTATAAGCAACGCTGCACCAAATCTCCTTGTAGAAATATCTTTATGTTCCCAGGATATTATGTGTGTAGGATGAATTATTTTTTTTTTCAAGATTTTATTTATTTATCTGAGAGAGAGAGAGCACAAGCAGAGGGAGGGGCAGAGGGAGAGGGAGAAGCAGGCTCGATGCGGGACTCGATCCCAGGACCCTGAGATCATGCCCTGAGCTGAAGGCAGACACCTAACCGACTGAGCCACCCAGGCGCCCCTCTGTAGGATGAATTCTTAAAATTGGTCTGCCTGTGCACATTTTAAATTTAGATAGATATTGTCAAATTTCCTCCCCCAAAAAAAGTTGGGGAGTGTAAAAGTTGTAACAATTTACACTCTCACAAATGGTGGATGAGAGTGTCTCTATATCTTTGCCAATTTATATGTTATTAGTCTTTCTAATTTTTCTCAATCCTATGAGAGAAAGTATCTGATATTTTTATTAATCTATATTCTTTAACTTTTGCTGAGGGTGAGCTTTTTTTTTTTTTTTCTTGGTGTATTTACGGTTCAGATGACGTTTTCCTTGCATGGTCCCATTGTTTGTTCCTTTCACACGACATAAATGAGCAGTTTCTGAGTGGATGAATGATGGAATCATTGAATTCAGATATGCAGAAAGTCTTCCTTTAACCCCATGGGATGGACTTTTAACTGGGGAAAAAATACCTTAGCAACCAATCATTCTAGTTAGCTTTTCCCGTCCCCTTTATCACTATTCGATTATCATTCAAGTATTCTCTGACTAAGTTCTTTATTTTATAACTTGCTCAGGCCAATCTGTTTCTAGAAGTGGCCATATACTTTCCTCTCTGTTTTAAACATAGCAGAATAGCTGGGTGTTACGCACAAACAATGAATCATGGGACACTACATCAAAAACTAATGATGTAATGTATGGTGATTAACATAACAATAAAAACTTTAAAAAAAATTAAAAAATAAACATAGCAGAATAGCTATATAACAATAATACTAGTAAACGACAATAATAATGATGCTAATTGCAACTATTATTAGGCGCTTACTATGTGACAAGTGTATATCATATACATAACTGACCTAATTTAATCTTTTCTGCAGCCCTGTAGGCATTATTATTTCCTACTATAGAAATGAGGAAATTAATATCCAATGAGGGTAAATAAGTTAGCAACAATCATATAGCTATTAAGTGGTAGAGCTGAGATTCAAACTCTTGTCTGTATGAATTCAAAGCCCACATTCTTTCTACAATGCTCAGCTGACTTTCTTGGAAATAAACATTTATATAGTTGTTTCCCCATCTTGTTTGTTCAAAGAAAAAGGAGGTTTCAAGAAAAGAAAACAACTGCACAATTTTAAATAATGAACACTGAAATTATCTTTTTCTTGCCTGAAGGGTAATGCTCACTGCTGTCGATTCCAATCTCAGAAAAATGAATATTTTTTTCCCTTCATGGTTTGCAGACTTCATTTAGCCATCAATGGGTAAGTGACTTATGCCCAGTTAAAGTGAGAAAATGCAACTGAAACATTTAACTATGAAAAGAGAAAAAAGGAAAGTGTGGTTTCCTTTCACCAGTGATCATCATTCTCTACCATCTAAGGATATAAATCCTTATCAAGCTGAGAGAATTCCCCCAGTCTGTTCAGAAATAAGACCGCATAAGGAATTTCAACACAACACCACGATAATGAGATTGATGCCTTCTTTACAAAGCAATTTACAAACTTTCCAAGATAATTTGGGTTTCTGGATGTTGAGGTCACCGCAGACTGAAGGCGAGTATATCTCTCAGGTACATTCCAAAATGTTCCACCAGAATAATGTGAATTTATTTTTTAGAGAAGATAGCTCCCCTAAATTGCCAAAAGTTGTTTCTAACAAGCCTTGTTCGGAATCACAGCACTATGGAATACAGCCATGTGGGCAGGAAATAGCCCTGTTTGCGAGAGCACCATGAACTAGATTTCGTGCTACATATTCCTCGGCTTCTTTTTCTGGACACATCTGAGAGTTTTCATAATTTTAGTCTGGGAAAAGGAAAAGAGAAAAATGCTTGGGTTTTTTTCCCTGATTGGAAATGGTCAACTCATGTTCCCTCAATGCTGAACTCAGATGCCTCCTAGAATCACGTTTTATTATAGGCATAACAACTCATATTCAGCCGCAACAGCGACACTGCTAACGTGCTTTATACCGGGAACAAAAAGGGGCATAATGGTGGCAACGTGATGAGTAGTCTTGCCACACAGACCTGAGCAACGAGGGTTGTGGGAGTCATTTTTCTTCACTTTGTATGTTGTTCCACGTGATCATTGAAGTGTGACACTAAAATGGATAAAACACTGGTATCTCTCTAAAACAGGTGCTGCAGCCCCACACGGTGATGACAGAATGTTTATTCATTAATGTTTGTTTGAAGTACTTTTTCATGTATCTCAAACTCAATTTTATTTGGCCAGCTGCACAGTAACCATTGTTTATAGGATAACCAGAAAACATGACACTCAGCGATACACAGAAAGTATTCTTAATTCATAGAAGTCATTTCAATAAAATTAAGTAACAACACAATAACAATAATTGGATTTCCTAATATGAATTTCTGTGTTTTAAATATTTTTTAAAGCCATATTGTCTTGTTTTATAAATGGCTATATTGTGGTCTTTAATTTGTATGATGGGAACTCATGTTTAGCCTAATACAGATATGAATGGTTACAAATAGAAATAGTTATAGATATTTATGTATACATGGGTTAGTATAGACATAAATATTTCCTTGCTTGTCAGCTAAGAGGGCCTAGAATCAATGACACTTGGAACATTCCAAGTGGATATGAATATACCTACTGCTCATATATTGGTTTCTAATTGCCCTTTAAATACAAAGAAACATAGATCCTTGGAGAAATAGCTGATTCTAGGACTGAAGCAGGAAATATACATATACAAGATGAGCCCGAAACATCGCATAATGGCAGAAAGCAATGGAGTGCCCTCAAAATATAAAACTAAACTAAACCCCACAATAATGAAGATATGTCAAAGGAACAGAGAAATTAACTGAAAGAACTCCCAATGGCCAAAACTAGAACAATTTGAGAAACAAAATAAATGAAGTAGCTTGGAATATAACTCCAAATAGACAATAAATATCCAAAAAAAAAAAAAAACTTATTTATACTGATATAAATAAATGGGAGAGATGAGACAAATCTTCTGTGCAGAAGAATTTCAAATAATTTCTATAAATACTCTACCCTTAAGGCATCTGTGTGTCTCAGTCAGTTGAACGTCCAAGTCTTGGTTTCAGCTCAGGTCATGATCCCAGGGTCCTGGGATCCAGCCCCGCATCGGGCTCCCTGCTCAGTGGGGAGCCTGCTTCTCCCTCTCCCTCTGCTGCTCTCCTTGCTTCTGTTCTCTGTCAAATAAATAATAAATAAAATTTTAAATCAAACAATCAATCAATAAATAAATCAATAAATCTATCTTTGGCATTTTTCAATGGCACCTTTATATTTCTTGGAATTTGACTGTATTTGTTTCATCTTTATATTAATCACATGGCTAGTATGCCAGGGCAAACGTTTACTGCTTGAATTTCCTGGCCCAGAGGGTTTCAGAGAAGGTTGTATTTACCCAAGAGGAAGACCTAATAGTGCATGGTAAATGAGATATGGCACAATATGAATAATGGTAAAATGTTAGAAAAAGCACCAGAAAATCTAGTCCCCAGATTCTGCCAAACCAGTAGAGCGACTTTGGGCAAGCCACTTAACCTCTGGATCTGATTTCTCCCATCTGTGAAATGAGATGATTGAGTTTAATGATCTCTAGGATGATTCCCTGCCCCCAAATCCCTTAATATCCACATGGCATGTTTTACATCTTTAGGATTCCTATGGATGAGCGATTAAACATAGAAAGTATATAGGTAGGGTAGCCTGTATTGTGTCAGAGAAACCAAAAAACATGACCAGTATTAAAAACAATGCTAAGACTGACTTACTTCACTTAGTATAATACACTATAGGTCCATCCATGTGGTCTCAAATGACACAATCTCATCCTTTCTATGGCTATGTAATATCACACACACACACACACACACATTTTTCCTATCCCTTTGTCTATTGATGGATGCTTAGGTTACATACATAATATTCCATACATATACATATACGTATACATATATACACCACATTTTCTTTATCCATTCATCTATTGATGGATGCTTAGTTTCTTCCCTATCTTGACTTTGTGAACAATGCTGCAATAAACAGGGGTGCATATATCTTTTCAAGTTAGTGTTTTTTGTTTGGGTAAATACCCAATAATGGAATTGTTGGGTTATATGGTATTTCTATTTTTAATTTTTTGAGGAACCTCCATATTGTTTCCCACAGTGGCTGCACCAACTTACATTCCTACTAATAATGCATGAAGGATCCTTTTCTACACATCCTCACCAGCACTTGTGATTTCTTGTCATTTTGATTTTAGCTATTCTGATGTATGATGATATCTCACTATGGTTTTGAATCACTAAGTTGTACACCTGCAACTAATGTAACATTGTGTGTCAGCTATACTCATATTAAAAAAAAGATACTAAATTAAAAACAAACAAACAAACAGAAAAAAGAACAATATCAAGACCAATATAGTGTATGTATATTTGGGTAGTTTAAGATTGCTATGATTATGTTTAGTTAGGAAAAGTCATTAAGAAGCTGAGCATCATTTAGAAAATAGCTCTGTGGGGACTACCTGTTTAAAGAATAAAGCTTCCCCCCAAAAGGAAACAATAAAACTCCTAAAGGTACAAAGTGACCCAAATGTTTTTGTTTGTTTGTTTATGGACAATTATAAAAAGGAATAGTATACTTCTTTGGTAAAGAGATTTACCTTGGTTGGGTGGCATACGGGTGACAATTCAGGTCACAGCCTTAGCCCTGTCTCACAAATTTAGACAAATTAATTATTTTTTCTTTATTTCTGGTCATCAGTTAAATTTCAAAGGCTTAGTGTTTATTTTTTGTACTGTATAAAAGAACATAATGCAGCAAAATGGTTAGGGGACAAAGACTTTAGAGTCAGAACTGGATTTGAATCCCAGCTCCATGACTTACCTTCAGTGTGTCCTTGGGAAAATAAAATACTCTTTCTGAGTTCAGTTTCCTTATCTGTAAGGAGAGAGCATGCCAGTGGTAGAAATCCACCCCCCCCCCCTTTGTTTTTTGCCTCCTAGCTGTTTTTCACCTTCTTTTGGAACTCCTTTTTTCTGTAGGGACACTCACTCCACATGGAGTTTAGGTAGGGGCTGAACCCACTCTGTCCTATCCATATGGTTGGGTATGACCCAAACCTGGGTAACCACATTATCCTTCTCCCTAATCACTATCAACTTCAGGGATAAGCAGATGACCTAACACAGCCAATCAGACAATTGTCTGAGATTTCACTCCCAGAGCTGTAGGGAAGATGCTCTCTTGCTGTTTGGGTTGCTAAGGGGGACGATACAAGTTTGGGTCTGTTGATGTCCACCATGATTGCTATATGACAAGAGACTTCCAGAGAGACAAGGAGGGATCGGGATGGGATATAGATAGAGACTGAGATAGAAATGAGGATAGAGATAGAGATGGGGAGGGGAATAGAGTCAGAGATATTGGCAAGAATGGAGTTAGAGGTAGGGATAGTAACAAGGAACAAGTCCGAGGCAGGGAGGGACAAGTACAGAGTCAGATGTAGGGAGGGATACGTACAGTGCTTTAACCGTATAGTTCAAGCCCTAGATACAGCTGAACCCATACCCTCAGATCTTCTGGCTACACAAGCCAGTAAATTTCTTTCACTTAAACTAGATTGAACATGATACTCGCCTCATAGGTTATGGCAAAAATTTAATAAAAAAAGGTACGTAAAACACTTAGCACAATGCTTGGCAGGGCCAAGTCGCCACTGTAAGGTGCTGAAAACACAGTGGCCAGTATGAAAGCTAATTAAATATAAAATGTACTTATACTTTTATGCCACTTTTAACCCCAAAAAGATTCAAGATAAAGAAGGCAAAAACAAAAAATTAAAACAAGAAACTATAAAATTCCAGTATGGTTTAAAAACATCATTGAGGCTCTTTGTCACAGAGGCAACTAAGGAGTCGAAGCTGTTATTTAAAGTGGGGACAGTGCTTCCTAACAGACGTCCCTGGCAGAATCACTCACTCATTCCTTTTACATTCAGCTTCATATGTTGAGTGACTATATTGAGCTTGATACAAGATGTCCAAGGAAGAAGTAACTGAGTCCTTACTCCCCAGCAGCTTATAGTTTAACATGGAGACAGGCATGCAAAGGATCGCAGTACCATTTGTTAACCCAGTGCAGGGTCATATAGGGGAAAGAATGCATTAGTTTGCTCTGCTTGGGGAAATCACAGAGGATCTCAAAGAGGGGGTTGAGCATTTGAGCTGAGATTTGAATTTCTCAAGTCGTTGAGCATGGGGAGAACATTCTAGACTGAGAAAACAAACCCAGACTGGAAATGTGAGGAGGCATATCAGTACTGCTGAGACATGCAGTTTGGAGATGAGGAGGAATGGCCGACTTGAGGCTGGACAGAGAGGCCATCATCAGATCTTGGGGCCTCACGTGATCAGTCAAGTGTACTAGACAGGCAAGAACAAGCTCTCAGGAGCACCACAGTAATGTGGATGGCAGGGCGCAGAGCTGGGGACAGATGGCCTCAAGGGCAGGTGTGAAAGAAATGGCTAGGATACTTTTATTAGTTGGGATTCAGTTTGCCTGAGCACACAAGAACAGAAAAAAACAATGCCTTGAACAACATTGAGATTTATGTCTCCCTTACATAAAATACTCTGAAGATGGGCAGCCTGGGACTGGTGAGGTCTCCTGGGTGTCAGAGCACAAGTGTCCTTCCAGGTCACCACGTGGACCCCACTTGATATTTGCACAAAACGTCGGTGGGGCTCAAGCCACTGAGTTGGTGTTCTAGGCAGCAGATGGATGGAAGGGGTCCAAGGAGAGTTCTTTTACATCTTAATGCTAAAATGAGATCTTTGGGGGGCACCTGGGTGGCTCAGTCAGTTAAGCGTCTGCCTTTGGCTCAGGCCCTGTGATTGAGCCCCACATTGGGCTCCTTGCTCTCCCTCTCCCTCTGGCTTCTCCCCCAGTTTGTGCTGTCTCTCTCTCAAATAAAAAAATAAAAATAAATTAATTAAAAAAATAAAATGAGGATGCAAAAATTCTCACCAAAATACTAGCCAATAGGATCCAACAGTACATTAAAAGGATTATTCACCACAACCAAGCGGGATTTATCCCTGGGCTGCAAGGTTGGTTCAACATCCGTAAATCAATCAATGTGATATAATACATTAATAAAAGAAAGAACAAGAACCATATGATCTTCTCGATAGATGCAGAAAAAGCATTTGACAAAGTACAGCATCCTTTCTTGATCAAAACTCTCTAAAGTATAGGGATAGAGGATACATACCTCAATATCATAAAAACCATCTATGAAAAACCTATAGCGAATATCATTCTCAATGGGGAAAAACTGAGAGCTTTCCCCCTAAGGTCAGGAACACAGCAGGGATGTCCACTATCACCACTGTTATTCAACATAGTATTGGAAGTCCTAGCCACAGCAATCAGACAACAAAAAGAAATCAAAGGCATCTGAATCAGCAAAGAAGCAGTCAAACTCTCACTCTTTGCAGATGATATGATACTTTATGTGGAAAACCAAAAGACTCCACCCCAAAACTGCTAGAACGCATACAGGAATTCAGTAAAGTGGCAGGATATAAAATCAATGCACAGAAACCAACAACAAGACAGAAGAAAGAGAAATTAAGGAGTCGATCCCATTTACAATAGCACCCAAAACCATAAGATACCTAGGAATAAATCTAACCAAAGGAGCAAAGAATCTGTACTCAGAAAACTATAAAATACTCATGAAAGAAATTGAGGAAGACACAAAGAAATGGAAAAACGTTCCATGCTCATGGATTGGAAGAACAAATATTGTGAAGATGTCAATGCTACCTAGAGCAATCTACACATTCAATGCAATCCCTATCAAAATACCATCCACTTTTTTCAAAGAAATGGAACAAATAATCCTCAAATTTGTATGGAACCAGAAAAGACCCCAAATAGCCAGAGGAATGTTGAAAAAGAAAAGCAAAGCTGGCGGCATTACAATTCCGGACTTCCAGCTCTATTACGAAGCTGTCATCATCAAGACAGTATGGTACTGGCACAAAAACAGACATATTGATCAATGGAACAGAATAGAGAGCCCAGAAATGGACCCTCAACTCTATGGTCAACTCATCTTCGACAAAGCAGGAAAGAATGTCCAGTGGGAAAAAGACAGTCTCTTCAACACATGGTGTGGGAAAATTGAACAGCCACATGCAGAAGAATGAAACTGGACCATTTCCTTACACCACACACAAAAATAGACTCCAAATGGTTGAAAGACCTCAATGTGAGACAGGAGTCCATCAAAATCCTAAAGGAGAACACAGGCAGCAACCTCTTCCACCTCAGCCACAGCAACTTCTTCCTAGAAACATCGCCAAAGGCAAGAAAGCAAGGGCAAAAATGAACTATTGGGACTTCATCAAGATAAAAAGCTTTTGCACAGCAAAAGAAACAGTCAACAAAACCAAAAGACAACCGACAAAGATACTTGCAAATGACATATCAGATAAAGGGCTAGTATCCAAAATCTATAAAGAACTTATCAAACTCAACACCCAAAGAACAAATGATCCAATCAAAAAATGGGCAGAAGACATGAACAGACATTTTTCCAAAGAAGACATCCAAATGGCCAACAGACACATGAAAAAGTGCTCAACATCGCTTGGCATCGGGGAAATCCAAATCAAAACCTCAATGAGATACCACCTCACACCAGTCAGAATGGCTAAAATTAACAAGTCAGGAAACGACAGATGTTGGCGGGGATGCGGAGAAAGGGGAACCCTCCTACACTGTTGGTGGGAATGCAAGCTGGTGCAGCCACTCTGGAAAACAGTATGGAGGTTCCTCAAAAAGTTGAAAATAGAGCTACCATATGATCCAGCAATTGCACTACTGGGTATTTACCCCAAAGATACAAATGTAGTGATCCGAAGGGGTGCGTGCACCCTGATGTTTATAGCAGCCATGTCCACAATAGCCAAACTATGGAAAGAGCCAAGATGTCCATCGACAGATGAATGGGTAAAGAAGATGTGGTATATATACACAATGGAATATTATGCAGCCATCAAAAGGAATGAAATCTTGCCATTTGCAACTACGTGGATGGAAGTGGAGGGTATTATGGTGAGTGAAATAAGTCAATCAGAGAAAGACAAGTATCATATGATCTCACTGATATGAGGAATTCTTAATCTCAGGAAACAAAGTGAGTGTTGCTGGAGTGGTGGGGGGTGGGAGGGATGGGGTGGCTGAGTGATAGACACTGGGGAGGGTATGTGCTATGGTGAGCGCTGTGAAGTGGGCAAGACTGTTGAATCACATACCTCTACCTCTGAAACAAATAATACATTATATGTTAAAAAAAAAAAGAAGATAGCAGGAAGGGAAGAATGAAGGGAGGGGCAATCGGAAGGGGAGATGAACCATGAGAGACTATGGACTCTGAGAAACAAACTGAGGGTTCTAGAGGGGAGGGGGTGCGGGGATGGGTTAGCCTGGGAATGGGCATTAAAGAGGGCACGTACTGAATGGAGCACTGGGTGTTATACGCAAACAATGAATCATGGAACACTACATCAAAAACTAATGATGTAATGTATGGTGATTAACATAACATAATAAAGTAAATAAAATAAAATGAGTTCATTTGTTCACACCTAGCTGCGAGGAAGATCGGAAAATGTGTATTTTGGTGGGCAGTAATATGTCTAGCTAAAATCCAGCATTATATTACCATAGAGGAGATAAAATGAAAATCGGGAAGAAATTAGCAGTCCCTGACACAGTACTGGAGGGATGAAGAAGCATGGAGGGGATGAGGCTTTGAGCAAAGCTGTCAACCATTGCTCAAGGGGAGGAAGCAGGAACAACTGGACTTGTACAGGCAACAACAATCACAAAGACAAAGCCATGCTCATGCATCCAATTGTGTACTTTCTGCGTTGCATAAAGATCTGTGCGTGTATAACCATGTGCATATGCACACACATATGCTTATGCACACGCACTGCACAATGGCTCATAAATATTGAACTACAGTTCTAAATAGTTGGGCTACGGAGATTAATAATTATGAAGCAGCCCTGTCAATTCTAAAACACAGATGATTCAGCTTTCTCTTTAATGATAATAAAACCAGAAACATCCTTATAAATATTTTTAAACACAACTCCTGTGCTATGCTCCTTACAAAATTTTCAAGCCCTGCGGAACTCTGAATATTCTATGATGCCAAAGGATTTTTGGAGATTTGGGAACTTTTAAGAGCTAGGATTTAAATGTTTGAGGGGAAAGTCAAACTCAGTATAGCCATTAAATTACTGTTTTAGATACTTGTATATCTGTCAGTCAGAGACTGGTTTTCATATGCCCGGGAGGACAGGTCATTAAAATAAAGATTCTGGAGGGTTTCGACATCAGCAAAGAATGAACTCATGAAATCTATGACACTGTTAGATTTCCATCTGTTGCAAGAGCCACTGACGATACATGTGGGGTTATCAAGGCACTATTTCAAAACGATGTGAGTTGTAGGGACTGTTAATCATCTGCAGACTCACTATGCAGGGAGGACACAGTCCAGGTGCTGTAGAACAGATGCAGTCCCCAATTTACCAGGATCATGTCACAGTTCATTTCCATTATGGCAGTCTGGTGTTCAAAATCTGCTTGAAACTAGACAAACATATGCTGGATGGCTGCTAGGTAAGCATGTTTCTCAGGGTAATATATTACACCTAGCAGGTTGCTGGATAAATTAATGTATTCCTGATCTGCAAGAATCATTTGAAATTGTCTCTGGACATCTATGTCAAAACCTTAAAGTGCTAGAGGATAGACTAGGTGGAAACTCACAGGCTTGCCAGAACCATGAGAGAGCATTCCACAGTTGATGCTAATATATTGTAAAGTATGTGCTAATGAATTACAAATAGTGCCACACACTCTGTGCACGTTGTCATATTAATTCAAGACTTCAGAATTTCAAAATGCATTTTCAGTATGGTTCAAGTGTATAAATATTAAGGAGGCATTAACCTTTATCAAAATGATTTTTCCTATGTTAAAAAAGATCAAAATTTAACATAACAGGGCACAAAATTTGACTTTGCTATGAAGTGGTTGATGAGAAGAACAGGAGCTGCCCCAGAATTATTCATGTAAAAACTGTGAAACCTTTCATTTACACTTCTGTAGGAAAGGCAGGAGTGGTGGTAGGAGCTGGGGGAGGAGGAATGTGGCAAGTAGGGAGAAAAGAGTAAATCGAAGGATGTCAGTTCTTTAATTAACATGCTGCTTGTCATCTTTTAGCACAGAGAAAAACAAAACCCTGCAGGCACCAGATAAAATGAGCCTTCTAGAGGTTTCTCATCCCAGACAACCTACAGAGTCTGTGTCAATTTGGAGTCACTGATGCAAACATTTTGTTCAAATACTTCATTTGTTTCCTAGCCGCATGGCATCAACAAGAATGTTTTCAAGGTCAAATGAATATTTTGATAAGTCAGACTGTGGGATTCCATGAACTGGCCTCCTTGAGGCTGATCAGGGACCTTGGTGAAGCAAATTGGAGCTTAAACTCAAGTCCTCAAACCAGTGATATCTTACGCAGCTATCAATCCCCTTAAAAAAAAAAAAAAAAAAAGCACTTTCTCTCTTGCAGGATTTGCAACTGGAGTCAATCAGTTCCAGCCTCAGGGAAGCCCAGACCAGAAGAAAGTGAAACAGTAAAACGCTTTGTTTTTGTCTTACCTTATCAGAATCTTCAGTTTGGAAGTGAAGGTCTGGGATAGCTTTATGACCACTGCATCATTCCCCATACCATGAGGGCAGCAGTCATGTTGAACTTGTTGACTGCAATGTCCCCATTTTCTGGTCCAGTGCCTGGCACATAGCACATTCTCAATAAATATTTGTTGAGCAAAAACTAGATATCAAGAGTCACACAATTAAAACTACCTCTTCAAATGAACGTAGAAAACATCCCAAGGACTATTAAGCAGTAATCAAAATCTTATGTTTTATTGTGACCTATGTCCCAGAAACTTCTTAAGGGACTTGTGGATTTCTAAAATGCTAAGCTCTCCTTTTTTAAAGCATCTCTACTTGTGTTTCTGGACCTATATGCAAACAAATCATTGAGGTTTTCAGCAACTCTGGACTGTAGAAAATGAGTCCAAATTGTAGGAGCTTCCAGTTTTAAAACAAAGATGTACTCTGGTGGAATAATGTGAATTGTGGGACATTTTAAGTTGTGATTACATAAACAATTCTAATGGTGCATCACCTCATGGAAGAATACATTTTACCCAACATTTTCATGGAGGGAAGTCCCTTCATGAAACTAACTTACACAGCAGCCGTTAGGGGGCACCATTAACATGATCATAGCACATAGGGGTGGTGGGGTGGGCTCTGTTTTCCATCCTACTGGGCAACACGTGGTTTGGGCATCTTGGATTGAATGCTGAATGGAGTTCCCATGGACTTATTTGTGAAAGAAATGGGAGAGTGAGCGATGGCTTCACTTCTAAATAAAAACACAGTGGGACACCTAGGCTGACTCTATTCTCCCCATTCCTAAGTACTGCCATCACCAAATCAAATCGGTTTCATTCGTTCCTAGTTTATAATTCCAAAGGGTATGTCAAGTCATTTGCTGGAGCGCCTCCTAAATTGTAAATGTTTAATACTTAATTCAATTTGTAAATGGTTGCTTTGGCACTGACTGCTAGTTATTGCCCAAAATGTTATATAAATGAGCCAAAGATGGTCTGTGGGTATTGACCCGTAGGTTGTTTATTACTTCCCTGCAGGTTGAGATCTTTTAGTTCAAAAGCCTACTGGCACCACACTCAAAAATTTTACACATCCAATTATTTAAAAAATAGTCCAAACAAGCAGATTTTTTAACCATTTAGAGCCTCACTGCTTTGCATACCTGGTGAAACCTGACCCCACATCTGCTGGCCTTTGGTAAGGTAGAACCTTCTGGCTGGAAGCTGCTATGGCCCTTCAGAGGTCTCTCATCCGGAGACATATCACCTAGTCACATAAACCCCCCTCCCCTGGGAGTTCCCTTGCCCACCTCCCCTCCTGGATGGTCGCCTCCACACTGGAACCTCTGGACATTCTCAGGCAGTGAGGGACCTTGCTTCTCATGCAGCCCTGTCCAAGTGCTATCCGTATAAGGACACAGTGAGAAGACAACTTCTTACCAGAAGGTAAGAAGGCTCTTACCAGATACCAAATATGCCCGTGCCTTTATCTTGGAACTCATAGACTTCAGACTTCTTAGACTTCAGTACTGTGAGAAATAATTGTTTGTGGTTTAAGCCACCCACAGATGGCATTTTTGTTATAGCAGCCTGAACAGACTAAGACAACTGCCATCAAAGAAAAAAGATCACAACCATGGCTCACAGAAGTGGGCGCATGAGGGATATCCGGGGAATAGCAAGCAGTCCAGTTGACTGAAATCATACAATACACGCAGAGAAAGATTGAGAGAAAAGTTTGAAAAGTGTGTTCAGGTCATATGTATAAGGCCCTTGAACACCAGGGCCCTGAATGCTATTGATTTTGGTCGACGGGGGGGGGGGGGGGGGGGGCGGTCCCTGAAGGCTCTTGAGTGAGACAAGGATGCTATGGGAGCTGTGTGCCTAGAAGATTTATCTGGAAAAAGCGTGAAGCCTGGACTGAAGAAGGGAAAGACAGGAGATTAAAAAGACACCACTTCAGGGGCTTTGCAGTAATCCAGCAAGATAATGAAAGTCTGAAGTAAAGGGGTGGCAGGGGAAGATGCCAAAGACATTCAGAGGTTATTGATCATTTCTCCAACCATAGTACAGATGATGCCATCCTAAGTATCTCATTCCTGTCTATTTTTACCATTGATGCTATAGGTACCTAGGAGCAAAGTGGCATTGCTTAGAGCCTGATCATATTTCTTCACATTGAACACATCAAAATACTCACAACGAGATCCCGAGCTTCCCAGAAATACACAGAGTGCATAGATAATTTACCAAACTGAGAGAATTAAGCATTCCAATAGAATATAAACAAAATGTTTAACTAAAGGGCCTTGTTGGCTGGAAATAGCAACTTCACCTAAAGACATTTATTTAATTAAAAATGAAGTTCATAAGTTCATATGTTCATTTGGTATTTTTCTATAAAATACGTTTGCATTTTTTGGGGGGGAAATACTTATTAGCCTCATAAGGCAATACAACTTAGGTTAAAAATTTCACTGGAAAGGAAATAATCAAGCATAGTGGACTTTTTTCAAAGTAGGCGAAGCAATTGTCTTGAATGGATGTTAATGGCCCAGGGCCCAGGCAACTGGAACATTAAAACTGCAGTCACCAAAGAGAACGGCTTCAAAAGTTGCTTTAAAAAGCTTTGTCTCTAGTCTCAGTAATGTCTGCCCCTCTGGCATTCCTTGACCTTTTCCCTTCCCCCAAATATAGAGGAGCCCGTTGGATCCTGGAAAATGACTTCCACCCCTGGTTTTCCCGAAGAAACCAGCGATGATGCCATATGCCCATTAATGTTCTCCATCACCCCATGTTTCCATTTGTTTCCATTAGCAAATGTTTTCCACAACCAAATGTTTTCTGCTACCAAATATTTCTACAGTGAATGGTTCGCACCTTATAACCTGACACAGGGAATGTATAGATCACTACCTTTTGCTTGCTAATAACAGAAACTCAGACTCAAAATAACTAAAATAATAAGGACCTTTATTTTCCCTTACAACAAGAAGTTTAAAGGGACAGCAATCCAAGCCACGCCACCAGGAGGGTCCCGGGTCTCAGCTTTGCCTCCTCTGTGGCTCGGTATGGCTCTTGGGATGTTTTTCTCATGACCACAAGAACCTGAACCAGTAACAGGCCAGGAGAATATTTTTCTAATCAGGTTAGGGCTGGTTGGAATCCACATGAGGAGCTAAAGATGGGATCGATAGTCCAAAAAGAGCAATGTTTTCAGAGGAAGGCAGAAGTGAGAGGTGGGGAGACATCAACGCTGGTGTAAAAAGATGTTAAAATGCTTGCATCCCCCGAGGCAACAACTTGATCACTGAGTTGTGAAACAGATAACTCTGCAGAAAGTTCAAAGTAGGTGGCAGAGATGTCCCGGAACTGATTAGGTGAGTCACTCCTACCACTGGCTTAAAATGGTCCAGGGTGGAGACTGAGAGAGGGTTTGGTGTGAAGGGTTTGAAAGAAAGATGCTGGAGTGCTTTGCATCTCAAGCCCCCATCCTAAGAGGGCAGGGTGTCTACTCTTAGCACAAGTTGAGTGAGAGGGGCTGTGAGGCAATCCCTTTGGGAGCTCGCTGTTCTCCCTGTAGTTACAGAACCAGCATGGGTATGGTTTGGCTCCTATCCTGGAACACTAGAGGCTGGAGCTGGGCTCGCACGCTGTTTCAGGGGCAGAGGAGGGAGGGCGGCTGCTTTGCTACACACAGTTTCTATGTGCAGTTTCTGGAAGAGGAATGTGTGAATGTTTCCTCTGTCAGGGGTGTGAACTCAAGAGTCAGTGGGAGAACCGTTCTAGATCTTTTCTGTTAGCAACACTGAAGGGACAATGAGACCTCAACAGAAATGAAGCTGAGTGGATCACCCATTCTCTAGAGCTTGGAGAGCAAGAAAGTGCAGGAATCGCAGGTATTTGCCCAGATTAGAAAAACCACAGGTGATAGACTACCATGATAGCGAGGTCTCTAAAGAACCCTCGAAAGTGAGCCAAGTTGAAACACCTGCCAGACCTAGAAAGTGTGAGGCCATCTTACGACAGTACCTATACGAACCTTCCTTTGCCCTTTTCTTTCTAACCTCTCTGCTCTCTACTCCCATAGGGACCATAAACCGGAAAGCAAGCTGAATAAAGAACAACAGGGAAAGAAAGAAGGATGAGACCCTCAAACATGCTGCAAATGGCCAGGCTCTCGCAGGCCCTACCTAGTTTCAGTGTGGGAAGGGGGAAACTGGTAGGGAACAATTACAAAATCAAGCTTAGAGCCAAAGGGATATAGTGTGCCATGCCTTTCAAGAACCAGGACGCTAATAACCAGACTCTGCAATCTCTGCTACAACTGCCTCAAAAAACCAAACCAAACCAAACCAAACACAAGAAACAAGTGCTTTGACTCTTGTGTTTGCAAAAAGCAGTAGCAGAATTGTGGGCCCTTGTGCGCCGTGTTCACGGCCTCCCAAACCTGCCATGGGGCTACCTGCCTGACAGATTCTAGATCAAGTCTGGGTGTATAGTCATAGCTTCTTAGGCTCCAGCACGGAGCAGGTGCAGTCCTTTGAGGGGTTGGCATGGAATCAGGCAATGCCATGTCCACCACAGGCCACCACCACACACCTTATATCTTGAGTAGATTCATTCTCTCAATGTGTTTACTCAAGAGGTAGGATTAATAAGAAATTGATTCATGGTCTCACCATACACTTGAAATCTAACTATTCTGTTATCCAGGAGTGAGACCTCACTGTCTCCTGTTCAGAGACCACCTTTTCCCCAGGCTATCCCCCTTGCCTTGAGCAATGAAGCTTCTCCCCAGAGGTCTCTGGACCAGAGCCTCTTCCTATCTTACCCAAACTTTGGGGGTCCCCCTCAAGTGCTACCTTCCCTAGGAGACTTCCCTTAGCTTTCTGCTGAGTTCCCCCCCTTTCTGCGATTTCTAGCACTTCCTGTCCCGAACACCATTTTTATGTGGAATTTTATAAGCTTTGGATTCATTTGCTAATTTCTTCCTTCCTTCAGTCAACCCATCCATTCAAGAGCCCATCCAAGGAGCTTTGCTGGGTGCAAGGTGGTAAATAAGACAGTTGTCCCTGTCTTCTTAGTGCTTACAGACTAGGGTAG